TAATAATAATAATAATAATAATAATAATAATAATAATAATAATAATAATAATAATAATAAAAACAGTAGAAAGAAGAAAATAACAAATAGGAAATAATTGTATACGATAAAATCTGATGTATATGACTTTTACTCAATTGCAATCATAATTTTGGACCACTAATGTTGCACTATAATAGGAAGTTTTTTTTATGAAACACTTGGAACCACTTTAATTGATTTATTTATGTGTATTTTTTCTTGAAATTGTATTCTATCAGCTATTTAAAATTGTTAATTAATTTACTAGAATTTTATAATATTTCAAATTCATATTTTCTATTTTGCTGGTCTGAAATTGACAACCTATATAAAATAAATTTATATACCTTATTGTAAAATGTTTTTTAATTAATATGTATTCGATTAGAATTCAACCTAACTCTGAATTTAGGAATGATATTAAAAGCGTTAATATTATTACAAAATTCAGTAGTATGAAATGTCGAAGTGTCACATATACTTTGTGCGAAACAATTGTATGTGTGATCGTGCAGGGGTAATTGAAAGGTGTTAAAGTATGGTGTTATTAAAAATCAGAGAAAAGTATGGTAAGTCAAAGAATCTGCTGTTTTGCTAAAATCACATCAAAGTTGTATAAGAATGTAAGTAGTACCTATTGAGGAATGTATCTTAATGCACAGTTAATGAAGTCATATGCTTCAGATGAAGGAATGTTCTTGGTTGTCTGGGAGTTAGGGGTATAAGCTGATTAAATGACATTACAACTCTCACTTAAGAGTATTTTTCAGTTCCAGAATGCCAGGAGGTTGAGAAAAATTGGCTTTCTTTATAATACAAATAACTAAAAACTTCAGGCTGAAAAGTTGGGTGATGATGCCTAATCTCTATGACAGCTAACAAACATACTTTAAAGGATTGAAAAATCTTCTTTTAGTACTCTAATATTTTCTGAGAACACTCAAGATTACATAGAAATTTCAGATTATACTAACCTGCATTCATATTTTATTTATGTATGTTTGTATCTTTGATGTTCACTTCTAAATTATCAACCAAACTTGTGTTTGTTAATTTGAATAAAAAAAGTAAATTTTAAATATGTTGAGTGTTACTTGTCTATTACTAACGATGCTTTCTAACAAGTCTTATCAAAATTTGATGCAAGTAAAAAGAACATTTGGAATCCAGAACCTTGTGCTCATGATCTTACAAGTAAAAACACCATTATTTTGTTTTATAGGAATACTCTAGAAATATCTCTATTTCTTCTATTCTTAAATTATTATATAAAAGATACTATGACTTACCACAATTTACTTCTCTACATTTATTTAATTAAAGATTATTTGCTGCTTTCTAAGAATAAAATGTTTCTAAAGTAGGTTAATGTGCTTCAAAATGTTCTAATATTTATGATTTGCTATTTCTCTTATGTCAGTACTGGTGGACATACAGCACATTCCCACGCTTGCGGAGGGAACGTTCATACCATGATCTTCCTCTCCGAGAAGTAAGATGTGCTCTTCTAAGAATTTCCTCACTTGGATTTCTTGAAGCACTTTACAGTGTTCAGAAACATGAACTGCTTGTTATCATGGCTTTACCTGTGAAAATGAACAGTAATTGAGTAATGAAATATCATTTGCACATAGACGTTTTTATAAAATAATTACATTAATTTCCTCAGAAAATAATAGTTAACAATTATATGATCCAATTGCATGTTAGAATTTTCATTTATTTATTTATTTAATTATTGCATTATCTATATACCTATAGGGGGAAAATATACGGAAGCCCATCTTACCTGCAACTTTAAAATGCTATTTTTTGGTTCTTGCACATTTTAAAAAAACTAGCAAAATAAGCTGGGTTATGTGCACAATGCATCCCTATAACAACACACTTATAGTATTATAGAGAAAATAAGACTTTTTTATTACCTGTGTATTAGAAGTTTCAAACAAGTCAGATCTTTTAAAGAAGTAACAAGAACATTGAAAGAAAACAATCTGACAAAGTTAAGAAAAACTTTTTTAAACGGTTTAGTCCCTTCATAAAATTGTTTGAAATCTTCTCTTTGATAACACACTACCTACTTCAAAATCATTACACTATTTTAATTAAATTTTATACAGTAAAATCTGTCTAAATTGGAACCTGTTCAAACAGGAAACCTGTCTTAACTGGACTGCTTTCTCTGGCCCGTGAAGTTACATAAGATTTTACACATCATGAATTTCCTGCCCAATATGGAAACAGAACGGGTTTTCATGTTCTACAGGAAGGAACCCCTTTATAAAATATAATTCCTGTTAATTTAATGACAGAGATATGTTGCGGAAGCATGGCAGAGATATGCCGCTCAGTGCAGGAGAGAGGCTTCAGGTGTCAGCGTAGAATTCGACCTCGGGGTCACTTGTCTGTCAAGGCTTAGGCTGTAGCAGCATTTTCTTTTGTTCAGATCGACTCCGGCTTAGAGAGATTTTACTGTATTCCATACGAGAAAAAGTCATGGAACATCTTTTCAGAAGATAAGAAGTGTCTCCAAAAACAAATTCTAAAGAAAAGGCATCAATAAATTATGCCTGTTTCTAGACATTACTATAAAACTGTATCTTCTATTCTCACACAAATGTGAAAACCAAAGTGTGAAGATTGGAAATGTAATTGGTACTAGAAAAGGAATTATACAGAATAACTTTCTCTTCATATTTTCATATACTGCTCTTTATTTCTACCTATTGTTTTGGAAACTTTATTATTAGCTTTAATCCTTCAATACTCTTTCAATGTTTAATCACAATTAACAATGTCAAAATTATCACCAATGTAACAACTTCCACTTTTGAAACTCCTTATGCAGTCATATGACAATTTAAATTCCCAATATAGTGAGTAAAATTGTTATGCAAAATATCCTATTGAACCTGTACTTAAAACTCTTATTGCAAATTGGAGAAATGACAATATATAATGCAAACGCATTCCATTTGCACATGGATAATTGTGCTCAGACTCGCTCATGAGTTACCATTAGGAAAAGCATGTACATACACATCAATTAGTAGTTGTGCTCTTAAGGTGGTTAGAGCGGGATAAGTGTTACATTTAACATGCCTTTTTTATTGCATTAATCGAAAGATGAGAGGTTCTTCTATGTTCTGGTAGAGGTTGAATCGATTTTACCGTCCAGTTTTTGCGTAACGAGACCGTAAATTTTGCTATTTTAACATGGGCTCTTATGGTAACCTGACAGATTTGATCTGAAATTTTAAAATTGTGAGAAAACTAACTGTTGAACATGCTTTTAAAATCTCTTCTTTTGGTTTCTAGCATCTCGAAGAATCAACATGCGCAATTGGAAGGAAATCTACCGTTTCAAATGGGAAAATTTTGCAAAAGTATAAGCCTAAATCAGTCCAAAGGGAGACGTTCGCGCTCTTTCTAGAGGGTCGGGACTGTGACGCGCATCTCGGCAACACCGCGCGCGCAACGGGCTTCGTTCCAATCGAGTGACTAGAACCAAGAGTTCGTAGATTCCTCTGGATCTCCTACGAGCAATTAAGATATTTTCACTCCTAGAGAACATTGCGTTTGATATTAACCAGATATTCAGAAAACTGGAATTTGATGATGATTAGTGCGATCTGAATGAATATCTTAATTCAATTAATATTCCCAATGACTCACTTTGATACTACTCCCTGAGCAAATGGGTGATCTTGAGAGTTTATAGAAATTTTTAAACAATCAGTACAGTTATTATTTTGTATTGTGCAGTAAGTCAGTTTCTTGCTCCTGAACAACGATTATTTATTCAATTATTCGAATTATTCATGATCTCTTTTTTATTATGGAGGTACACAGTGGATTGTCATTGCCTTTTGGACCACAGAACTCAAACGCACACAGAAATCTTTAACATAGATCAGCACCTCAATCAGTATTGCTATTGAGTGGGCTTTCAATTCATAAAGAAATAGACTTTGTAGTGGCTTTAAATGTGTTGCAATGATAAAATAATGTTTTGCTGGTGTTAATATCAACCATTCAATGTATAGGTGACTGCAGAGCTGGATTTCCTCCTAGCAAAATTAGGCTAGGGACTGCCATCCTCGTGCCCAGTTTTTTAAAATGAATATTAAAAACTTCATAAAAAGTTTTTATTTGAATAAGCATTAATCAAATAGTTTACTGAACAACAAATGTTTGATTTTAAAAATAAATTGAATGGAACAATAAGAAACCAAACATGTATTTGTAAATGTTAAATTTAAAAAACAATTTCTACTTTGAAAGCAATTTATTAATTTACATCTGTATTGGAACAATGATTTGTTCTGTCATAATTAGTGTTTTTTAGATTTATTCATAATTAGTTTTAAAGATTTTTCTGAAGGAGTGCACTGTGTAGTATTGTGCTTGAAGGCCTACAGTATTTAAATCCGCATGGGCAAATTTAATAATTACATTTTTTTGAAATTGTAAGAGGAGTAATGTATTCAGCCTTTGGTAGTTTTAGTATTTTAATGGAAACTCCTTTTCACTTCCGCACTACATTTTATCTATTTGTTTGCATTTTCTGAACAATAATAATGCATTTTCAATGGTTCTCGTGTCTTTTTCAAAACATTTAAACCTTTTTTCATTTCGAGTGCAACATCAAGACAAACGATTACAAAAGGTTATGCCACTTAGAAATCTCTTTTGAAGATTGGTATATTTTTATTATTGAAGGTCTCAATAATACCGCTCTCAGAATTATCTAATGCATTTTATCAGCTTTAACTTGATATGTATTTTACACAATAATTTGCATCTAAATCAATATTATAACATGATATAAAATTATACTGAAAACGAGCAAATAGTTTCTATGAATTATATAAACAAATCGCTGGAAATAATACGGCACATTGCAATTGCAAAAATAGTTTTAAAAATTCAATCAAAACTATTAAAACATTAAAAATTGATCATGCAGTTTAATTAACTAAGCAAAAATAGAATAGGGGAATAACAGAAAAAATATTGTGATAAGGATAATAAGGAGCAGTAGGAGTCAATGATTACGATTTCTAAGTTAAATATAAAACTTTATACAATGTTGGAGAGAACCAAACTTTTGTTCTTTTTTGAACTTTTGATCTTGTTTTTAAACAATCGAATAATCTAAGGTTTGTCCTACCATTGGTTCAGGTAATTCAAGAAATAAAAATTAGAGAGAAACAAACATTGAAAAAATATTTAAAACTTTGTCTTACCTCACTGTTCTCGTGATATTGGGGGAATTATTTCGTTATCTCTCAAATTGCACTTTGGAGATAAACCTTATACCAACAAACCACTTTGGATATATATATATATATATATATATATATATATATATATATATATATATATAGATATATATAGATATATATATAGATATAGATATAGATATATAGATATATATATATCTATATATATACATATAGATATAGATATATAGATATGTGTCTATAATGTTACGTTTAATGATTTTGCTCGTACTAATTGTGTAATAGTGCTTTTTTATGTTCAATCTCATGCTTCAATTTTTCATTCCGTGGTCACGCGATCTCTTGGTGCTATTTAAGAAACTAGCCAACGGTAGCTCTTTATGTGGTATTAAAATATTTTTATTTTATATCTATGAAACTAAATTAATTCGAATAATTGAATAAAACTCAGCAAAAAAATCCCTATTGTGTTTATGTAGGTCCCACAATACCCACTTATCTAGCAAATAATTATTTTTGAACGTAATATGGACTCTTTATCTACTAGGGAATATCTCGCTCTAACCACTTTAATCTTCTAACATTTCATTATTGAATATGATCGGGATATTCAATTTAATTTTTAATTTTATGTATAGAATTTTTTCTGAATTTTATTTGTTTTAACTATTCATATGTAATATTTCTCTTGTCAGTACTGGTGGCCATACAGCCCATACCTATATTTGCGGAGGGAACGTTCTTACCACGATCTCCCTCTACGAGAAGTAAGATGTGCCTCAAAAAACTTTTTAAATTTTCTCTGGCACTTTCCTTCTTCACAGAGTTGAAGTATTATATCACTAATTTTTAATGAAAGTAGTGGGAAATGTTCCCATAAAGAAAAAAAAACTAATACATTTTCATATAACACATATGGTGGACATGGAGTATTACTATACACTTAAATGAGACAATTTTCTTAACAATAACAATAACACACATCAATAAGGTTCTTGAGAAATAATTGCTCCTTTAATGTAAGGACATAAAAAACATACAGTATTAGATGGTTGGGAATGGATATCATCCTAATACAAAGCATTAAAATGTTTGAAAAGTTGAATACATTATGAATACAATTTCAATAGAAGATCACACTTGTGAAGTTTGTGTGTGATTTTAAACATTGTAAGTCATGAATGTGTAGATACTATATTATTTTCTTTTGATGAATTTCCAAGATATCCAGAAACAGAATATTAAAAATGCTATAAATTGCAAAGAATATTCACCCATAAAAATTGCCCCTCTGGTTCCCAAATGAAGAAATGAACAATTGTTATCAGGTACAGGTTAACAATATAATATTCTACTTTCT